GGACAGCAGGGGGACCAGAGCTGTGCCAACAAGCTGCTGCGCTGGCTCCGGAACTGGCACCAGAGTTCCCCCGGAGAGAAGAAGCACGGTGATTGCCCACGTAGTCGTTTGTGTGTGTCTGTCGGCAGGTAGTGCTCAGCTGCACACGTGGGCAGAGGCCCGCGGCTGGGTCATCTGCCTGTCAGCAAGTGTCCACTGAGAGCTTGTCCAGAGCCCAGGGGCTGTCCTAGGCCCTGGTGGTGCTGCTGTGGGCAGGGTGGGAGCCCCAGAGAGTTGGGGACTGTGAGCCAGCTATGAAATGCATGTGCCAGGTACTGTTGTAGGGGTAAGTACAGGGAGCTCGGGATGCCGGCGTGGAGTCAGGGAAGAGGATGTGAGCTCTCTGGGAGACAGCTAGGTGCGGGACCTGTGTGTGATACCGGGCAGAAGGAATGACCAGTCCAAGGTCTGAAGGCCTGTAGACCTGTGAGAGAGAGAGAGACAGACAGACAGACAGACAGACACCAGTGAGAGCGCTCACCGCCCAGGAGGGAAAGGCATGAAGCACAGTGGCCTGAAGCTCATTTGCTTTTGGTAGTGCAGTAGGGCCGCGTGCGCGCGCGTGCTCTGCTCTGGATGGCCCTGGGCGGTTCAGGAACGATTCCTGCTGCTCTGGGGTGTCTGGGAGGTGGTGCATGTTAATGCTCTGGAACTTCTTCTCCCCTGCAGCAAAATTCGGCAAACTTTCCAGCAAAGATGACGGCTCCAGTTTCAAGGCAGCACTGCTCTCCGGCCCACCGGGCGTTGGCAAAACCACAACTGCTTCCCTTGTGTGCCAGGTGGGTGCGGTGGAATGGTCAAACCTGCAGGGAGCAGACAGCTCTTGGGTGTGCAGACCCACAGTGTGCATTGTTCTAAAGCCAGACTGCAGAACTTTGTTCGGCTCAGGTGAAGTTTGTCACTGCTTCCTTTAAAAATACCACTATTGTGGCCGGGTGTGGAGGTGCGTGTCCGTAATCCCAGCACTGGGGAGGCAGGTGGAATTCTGTGAAACAAGGCCAGCCAGGCCTACATGGTGAGTTCCATGGCACAGTATGTTTATAAAACCAAAGAGAGCGAACAGCTGTCCCACACCTGTTATTCTCTTGGCTGTTATAATAGAATCCATTTCCCCTTCAATGTGGAGGCTGTGTTCCCAGGCCCCCGTAGGTGCCGTAGCTGCAGGCAGTCCAGGGCCCTGTGGACCACGCTTTCCCTCTGCCCTGCAGCATTGCCACTTGGTGCTAGGTAGGGTTCCTCGGTCCTTCTGTGTCTGGGTACTGGTGCCCTCCCTCCCTTCCCACTCTTGTTCTTTGGGGCCATTTTGAAGTTCACTGTGATGCTGTGGCAGGTGGTCTGATAACCAGGTGTGAGCCACTGCACCTGGCTGACCAGCTGCGGTTTTAAGAGCAAACTTCTGTGTGTGTTGTTTGTCTGTATGGTTTAAGAATCTCTAATACAAAAAAAAAAAAAAATCCCTAATACTAGTAAATTTAATGTTAAATTTGTGGTCTGTTAGTATCATACTTAATTTTTTTTTTTTTTTTTTTTTTTTGGTTTTTCGAGACAGGGTTTCTCTGTGTAGTTTTGCGCCTTACCTGGAACTCACCCTATAGACCAGGCTGGCCTCGAACTCATACTTAATATTTTTATTCGTGGTTTTTTATATGAGTTTTGGGACCTCTGTTCCTT